AGTTTAATGGGCCCAATTTACCTCTCTAAAGAAACCAGACCAAAAACATGAGGTAGACATAGTTCAAATGGCTTCTCACTTGACGTTATTGACTATTGCAGGCTTTGTAGGGACAGACGGAAGACTTGGTTACACGGAGTTAACATTTGGTTTGGTTTGGTTTAGTTTGTTTGGATTAATGATGCGTTGCTACACAGGAGGCAACTGCCTCACTCGGATATGTTTGGTCCATTGTGTTCATCCTAGAAAGAATAAAGGCATTAGTGATAGGATAGAGAGAGAGAGAAAACGAAGGGTTTATAGAGAGAAGTACAGTTGTAGTGGTCTGCTTAAACAGGAAATGTTTACTTGTAGATGATGATGGGATCTATGTTCGAAAAGAACTTTGCAGTTTCTAACTCCAACCTGCCAAATGGCCTATGTGTCCTGTTGGATAACATGGGGTATCTGCATAGTAAATGTTTAATCGTCTTTATATCTTCTTCACATAGTCTATAGTAGTCAGGAACAATGTTATCCCAACTTGAGGTCCGATATCTGTTACTGCAGTGGTCAGTCAATATGCCTACCGCAATTCTTAGATCAAACCTACTAAGCAATAGAACGATGAAGCTTGCTCTTCTTCTCGATATCGCCGGCCAGATGAATTTAGATACCCTACAACTGGAATTTTAGTCCCATCTTCCTCTAACTTCTTCGATGAGAGGTTTTTTAAGCAGCTGACATAATATCTTATTGGTGATTTAACAGTCTCATCAATCGGTAGATCAATCGACTGGGAACCACTTCCTTATGATTAAGCATTATTGAAATTAAACTAGTAAAGAAGTATCAGTCGGTTTAGCCGACAGATGTATACACCCAGCCAATGTTTATTTAAGTATATTTCGACCTCTGTTATAAATTTTGGCCCTCTATGGAGTAGGTTTTGAAGGAATGGGCCAATATTGTCCATTTCATATGGGACCTAAATAAATATGATATAATTATTACGACGTACCAGTTTTGGACTATTTTGGTTGCTTCCTTCAATTTATTTGAAATATTTGATAATTTTTAAAAAATGTTAAAATGTGCGTGACGAACCCAGATGTAGTCGATATATATTGGTATGGGCAAAATTACAAGAAAATCGAACATTTATATCCAATTTTTTTGCGAAATTATAATATATCCATATTAATCTCCGGTTTCTGTGCGAGAAATATCTAGTTATAGCAAGTTGTAAAGAATCACTGACATGTTTCGCAAGTTATGATAGATTAAAAGTATTGAAAATTGTGACTCTTTGTAGGTGAGGTAACAGAAGGTTTTTGCAGATATATATCATCTTCACAAAATATCTTGTGTTAGCAAAAATTTATGTGTGAAATTTTAAGCGATTTGGATGCTTATTTCGCTTTCATTGAGTGTGTTTTTATTCAAAATCCTGAACCTTTTGTGAGGGAGGTACCAGAAGAAGTGGTCCGATCTATACCATCTTTATAACAGATCTTGTGTTGATGGCCATTCAAGATTTTGACCCTTTGTGGGGGAGGTACCAGATGGAGTGGACGATTTATTCTATCTTCACAGCAGATCTTGTGTTAGTAGAAATAATAGGATGTGTGAAATATGAAAATGATCGTTTTGGATATTCAAATACCAGATTGAAAGGTTTGGTCTCCACCATCTTTATAACAGATCTTGTGTTGATGTGCCTGATCTGAATGGAATCATATGCTAATTTCGCGTTTTCTGAGCATCAACATTTTGTCCATTTCCGAACTCGATTTAAGTTTGACAAAAATATTACGATGTACCAAGTTTGGACCAAATCGGATACTCCCTTCGAGATTTATCGTGCGCACCAACCAGACAGACAGACGGACGGACAGATCGACTCCAAATATCCTGAAACGAATTTGGTCCAAGGAGACCTAGAGTCTATAACAATTATTTCGATGAGGCAGGTTTTGGCCGTATAAAATTATTTATATGCTCTCTTGCCATATGGGCTGAGGGTATACAAATGTTTGCATTTTATCTTTATTTCAGAGCTATTTATGTGTACCCGTAACCAAAACAAAATAATAAAATTCAAATTAACTCTGCAACTGGAAGAATGTTTTCTTATCAAATTATAACATAGTCTTTAGGTTTCTATTTTTGAAAAACTGGTTAGCCACATATAACTATTCACGATATTTGTATATACTCAGGCTAGCTTAAAATTAATTTTTATATATATTCTTGAAAGTCTCAAACATAACGAAAATTCAATACGCCTTTCATTCCTGGTATAGGTTACAAAAACATACCATAAGCCCTCATTTAAACATCATACTTATCAATTATCAATTTTATGTAAAACTAATGATAATTGATAGCCGATTACAATATTGAGTGGCAATTCAAATAACAACAGTGGCAATAGTAAAAATTTTAAAATGCAATTACTCAAACAAATAACTTTCAAACAACCTTAAATAGAGAAAAACCCCGCCTAGCAAATAGCTGCTAAATGTGTTCGAATGCATGAATACATGACAAAAAAAACGAACAAGTGGAAAAGTGTGAAATATTGTAAAATAATACTACATTCGTGGTTGTAGCTATTCTACGAAATTACAAAAAAAAAAAAAAACAATGCACCCACATGTACGGTCGGTATAGGAAAATTTTGGAAACCAATACAATTAAATGGAATTTTTTGCTAGATGAGGTGTCTCAATTAAATGCTTTTTTTTAAGCTATGACATTTTGAAATATTGGCAGTTTTCTAACAAAAAATTCCCTCCATCACAAACCAATGGATAATCCAAATATTTATTCAATATGAAACATTAATCTGATTTTGTTATAACTTCTTCCAGTTAAACCCACAAGACATACCCGTTAATCAAATAATTTCACTATGATTGTTAACTGTCAATTTTTAATAAGTAACAATTTAAATGACATGGGTAATTTAATAGCTCACTTTAATATTAAATTACGGCATGATGTAGCAGAGTTGTTTGCATTCTATTCTCAGTCGGTTTTTTTTTTTTATTTTTCATTCATTTGTGCAAATATTGTTCAAACAAACAATTTTGTAATTTTCTCATTTCATTGAGAAAATGAGAAAATTGTTGCGCAAAAAATGTCAAATAGTTTTTTTTTTCCAGTATTCTGTTCTGAATTACGATAACCCAATTTTAGCACATAGCTGTGTACGTATGTATAAGCACAGTATTATAAATATAAAGATATGATAAGTGCTTGCATTCACACCATATATTGTCATTGTGTTTATCAACAGGCAAGTAGATTTGTTTATTTAGGAAAGTAGCAGTAGTAGAAAATTGATTTAACATACGCTAATAATATTTTTGGGGCACACGTTTATAAAATTATTTTATTGAAGCTTTGTTAGATACAAAGATACAAGTTCAGACCTTAATTGAATTTTTGGTACATTTTTAAATTATATATAATCATAAGTAACATTATTATTGCAAATATGCTCAATTTTATTAAAATAATAAAAAATTTAAAGTGCCAATACCGACAATATTTCGCCACATTCTCAAAGAATTGCCAAATGATTTTTTGATCCTTAAAAATCAAACGATCCACTCTTTCTGATAGCTCCCACAAAAGGTCGAAATTTTCAAAAAAAAAAAATATTTTCTACACAGAAAAAGATTTTGCCCTAACTTTGCTAGGTCTGGTGCGAAAATAAACAATATCGTTCCACTCCTCGCAAAGGGCCAAAATTTTAAATAATTATAACTCTTATATAATGTGAAGCAAGAGTCCGATTGTCTTCATATTCTACATATACCAATATTTTTATTAACCCAAGGTGTGGTGTTAAAATACCTCCACCACAAAGAATCCAAATTTTGAACATTCATGAAACTCATAAAACGCGTTTCTATTCACACTTGGTACATCTGAATATTTTCATCAACACAACCTCTATAATAAAGATGGTAGAGATCGGACCATTTCTTCTGGTACCTCCCCCACATAGCGTTCAAGCTTTTGAAAAACAAAACGCTCAAAGAAAGCGAAATAAGCATCCAACTCTCCTCAAATTTTACTCATACAAATATTTTTGCTTATACAAGATCTGTTGTGAAGTTGATATATATCTGCGAACCCCTTCTGGTACCTTACACACAAAAGGTCACAATTGTCAATACTTTTATATGTCATAACAAGTCAGCTCTACTTTACAACTTGTTATATCTAGATGAATATATCGTATAAAATTTGATATAAATGTTCGATTTTTCTTTAATTTCACCTGTACCAATATTTTTATCTGTATTAGACGAAGTATGAAAATGGAATACTACGGTCGATTGGTAACTCACGCACATTTTAACATTTTCTAAAAATGTTCACTTATCTCATACAAAGTAAAGGATGTAGTCGATATAGTCCACACCTGGCACGTCGCAATATTTATATCATATTTATTTAGGTCCTATAAGAAATGGACAGGGTCAACAGTTTGAATAATTATAACACAAGTCAAAATACAATTAAATAATCGAATATAGGCTGAGGGTATACATCTGCCGGCAAAACCGACGGATACTATTTTACTTGTTGATTCTTAAACAAAGTTTGTTCTTGAATTTCTTTCAAAGTATTGACATTTTAAGGGCTACTGTTATTTTTAATCCTTTCTTGGTTTGGGTTTATTACTTAGATCATGGAAGGTTGCATTTCGAATTCTACAGTCTCCGGAATTATCAATCTTTTATTGTACAAACTTTATTCTTTTACATTATCCTTTAATCCGCTTAATGTCAGATTTCTCATTTCAAAATGGGGATTTCGTTACCTAGACATATAAATTATCATAAGTGTTTTTTCCTTTTTTTGACTTTTTTGTATTTTAATAAAACTAGTGTTTTCGAGCTTGAGCTCTTTGTTGTTGTATTTATTGTTTTATTAATATAAATTATTATAAATATTTGAATATTATTCAATTGTCATTTATTTCTTCTTGTTTCTTTCAGGGTGTCAAAAAGCCTTTTGACTATGTCATCCGTGCCAATATTGGTGATTGCCATGCCATGGGTCAAAAACCCATCACCTTCCTCAGACAGGTAAGTTCTCATGAACAGAAATTATATTGCCGCACAAAATACTTAAAAATCGGATTGTGTCGGACTCTTTAAGAGAAGTTATTCAGGGAAGTAGCTTCATTTTGATAGTACAGTATGTTCGATCGTCTCAATTACTTCTTCGTCCTGACATATTCTACAGTAATCAATGTCATCGCTAGAGAAGTAAAGGCTTTCAGTGCCGCTTGACTATCGACCTATATAGTTAGCGGACTGATAACCTCGTTGTTCCTCGTTACCAACAGGTCTATGGCTTTTTTGACCGCAAAAATTTCCGCCTGCCCGCTACAGTCGTTTCTAATCTTATAGGATTCGCGAACATTAGGAATGTCACAGAAGACACCAGCTCCCGTACACCATTCCATCTTTGAACCACCGGTATAGATAGCTTTGCCGTAGAAAGGTGGGCCCAGATGTCTCTATCAGGTGTGTGTCAGAGTGTTGAAAACGCTAATCAGAGGGGATTAATATATCTGAACCGATTTTCACTAAATTTGATGTACTTGATTCGAGGCTGTAGTCTGTTAAATGTGCCAAAATTCAGGTCATTTGGATCTATATTGACTATTTGGTGTACAATTAGCTATATCCAAATCTGATCCGATTGTCGCCAACTTCAATAGGACCAGACATATATTATTTGGAAAATTTCCTCTCAATCGGATAATAAATGCGATCTGCATTTTGTTCACAAAAATACATGGACAGACGGACTGACCTGCATAAATCAACTTAGAAAGTGATTCTATGAAGATCCTCAAAAGTAACTATGGGTCTATCTCGCTACCTTCTCCATGTTACAATCAAATGCACAAAGACATAACACCCTTACCACTATGTGATGTAGGGTATAAAAATCGCTGATAATTCCGATTTTATCCCAGTTGTGCTTTTGTGGATTATGCCTTCAATATGATTCTATCTGCATATTCTGGAAAATGGGCAAGGAAGAGCTAACAGACCGCTAGTAAAAGCCTGCCATATGGGAATTCAAGTGGTCCGTTTTAAGAGTTCGGTAAATTCATAAGACTATCCTCTTTTAGTTAAAGTTTAATTGAAACTCCACGATTTTTGAACTCGTTATGAAATACGGGGCTCTTTCTTTGTGTTGACTTACTGTGGAGATTTTGAGAGAAGCGGAGGACCGATGTAGCTCACCATCAAACATTGTCTTAGCAAAATGAGCTAAGTTGGACCAAATAGTATACTCCCATCAAGAAATAAAGATAGTTGGCAGGCAGACAGATTTGCGGTCCATTTCTATGATTTTTGACAGCATCTTCCAACGAAACTTCCAACATTAGCCCTATATAGAAAAAAAAAAAACAATATACATATAATTAAAATTTTTATATAAATTATTCTCCTTCAATTTTTTCGTATAGCTTTTGAATTTGACTTTTGATCCTGAATTACTGAATTCGCCCAACTATCCTGAGGATGTTAAGGCTCGTGCTAAGACTGTACTTGAAGGCTGCCAAGGTCAATCGGTTGGTTCCTATACCGATTCTGCCGGCATTGAAGTGATTCGTCGTCAAGTAGCTGATTTTATTGCTGCTCGTGATGGTGTACCCTGTGATTGGCATAACATTTTCTTGACTGCCGGTGCCTCGCCTGGCATTAAGAGTGTTTTGGCTCTTTTGAGGTAAGCATATTATATTGATCATTAGAATGTATAACTAAATATATAATTTACCTCCCTTCTTTGCAGATGCAAAGTTGATGGCAAAGCTCCCGGTATCATGGTGCCCATTCCCCAATATCCATTGTATTCGGCCACAATTGCCGAATATGGTATGACCAAGGTTGACTACTATTTGGAAGAAGAGAGTGGCTGGAGTTTATCGACCGCCGAGTTGCAACGTTCATATGATGAAGCCAAAAAGACCTGCAATCCACGTGCCATTGTTGTCATTAATCCAGGCAATCCAACTGGTCAAGTTTTGACTAGACAAAACATTGAAGAGATTATCCGTTTTGCCCACAAAAACAAATTGGTCATTTTGGCCGATGAGGTGTATCAGGATAACATTTACGATAAGGACTCGAAATTCTTCTCGTTCAAGAAGGTTTTGACCGAAATGGGTTCGCCATACAGTGAAATGGAATTGGCCAGCTTTATGTCGACATCAAAGGGTTATTTGGGTGAATGTGGTATTCGTGGCGGTTACATGGAAATCATCAATATGTGTCCCCAGGTTATGGCTATGCTAACCAAATCGATTACTGCCTCGTTGTGTGGTACCACTGCTGGTCAGGTGGCTGTTAGTGCTTTGGTAAGTTGGGGATCTCTAATAACATAACATTTATAAAATTAAAAAAAAAAAATAATTGAGCCAAAATTAGCATATTCGGCAATAAATTCTGAAAATAGAAGATAATACGAAATTTTCCCAAACTTTTCTTCTTCTATCCCCGAAGAGGGAAACTCAACCTTCAAAAATATCATTTAAACCTAAGCTTTTTTATACTTCTTCCAATAAAACATTTCAATATTAAAGTAATACATTTTAATTTTTTAAATTTTCAGGTTAATCCTCCCAAGCCCGGCGAGCCATCATACGAAAAATACATTGCGGAAAAGAATGGAATTTTGGGTGCATTGAAAGAACGTGCCGAATTGGTACACAAAACACTCAGCAGCTTTGAAGGCTACAAAGTCAATAAAGTACAAGGAGCTATGTACGTTTTCCCACAAGTTGTTATTCCTCCCAAGGCCATTGAAGCCGCCAAGGCCAAGGGTTTGCCCGCCGATGTTTTCTACGCATCTGAACTTTTAGAATCAACTGGTAAGCAAACAAATCATTGTCGCAAAATAATGACACTCGTAAGATTGATGTCATTATTTCTTTTCCTTTAGGTATTTGCATTGTTGCTGGCAGTGGTTTTGGACAGAAGCCCGGTACATATCATTATCGCAGCACCATTTTGCCCCAGACTGATGTATTGAAGGACATGATGAACAAATTCCAAAAATTCCATTCTGAATTTATGCAAAAATACAAATAAGCCACATCAGCCCCCCTCTTTCCCGCTATTGAGCCATTTGTGTAAAGTAAAGGTTGATCATACAGATCATAATAGTTTTTTGTTTAATTCTATTTTTGTTTCTTTTTTGTTTGTCAATCCCCCATTTTAATGTGATCGTATGCATCTTAAAAAAAAAAAAAAACAAAAAACAAAAAAGTGTTTGTTATTTATATACATAAAAAAATGATAATATATTTCATAATATATACAATTAAATAATTATTCTTGTTAAGATATAAAATGCAAGACAAAGAAGAAAATCACTGAAACATAATCAACGATAATTGTAGTTGTTTTCTTTCGTTTTTATTAGTTTTTTCTTTTATTTTTTTAATTTAATTTTTGTAGTCTAAACAATGGGATGTTGAGATTGTCAATTCGTGTGTCCCAATTTTGGAATTATTTGCTCCCGTCTAGGTTTCAACGCTTTCTTTTCAAATATTTAATAAATATTTATGAAATTCCTTTTGGGAATTTTTTAGCTATATACATATGTACTTCATAAATATACGCGTAATTTATCTATGTTTCATTAATGTGGACAATAATATTCGATTGTTTTATTGACATTAAAACATAATTTATTAAACATTCATTGACAAAAAATAAAGTTTTAATAAAAATCAAAATCATGAACATTTTATGGTTTCTAAGGATGATTAGCCTTTTTAGATAAAGTGACCTTGAAAATAAACGGTAATAAAGAAATGATACCGCTTCTAATTCGGATTACCATTAATTAGGTTTTTCCTCAACCCACACTAATTTCAGGACCGATTTTCAAGATTCCACAATGCATAGGTACACGTTCTTCCTTTACTTTTGGTATTTACTAGTCATTTGACGTATTTTTAAGTGAGCGCTTTCGATGTCAATGGTGAGGAAGAAGTGATTTGAAAACATCTCAAGCTAAGTTGAAAGTCTCCTACTCTCCAGATAATATCGTCTTTCTTGGGGTCGCAGCAGCAAAATCGATACATTGGTTCCTTGAGTCGAATCTGTGATGTATTTTCCTCTGCCGACAAATGTATACCCCATCCTTGCGTTTTGATTATTCAAACGGTTGACCCTTTATGGGGGAGGTTCTGAAGCAGTTGGTCAATATTGACCAATTTGTATCTGACCTAAGACTGATATAAATATTACAACGTGCCAGATTTGAACCATATCGACTACTTCCTATACTTTATATGAGATATGTGCAAAGTTTTAGAAAATGTGGAAATATCCGTGAGGTAACAGAAATAGCGGACCAAAGTTTTGGTACAGATAAAATATGAAATCTTTGGGAGTTCCAAGAGCCAATGCATCTGGGAATGTAATGATTTTGTTCATATATTCAAATTCCATACCAAAATCGTGTTTGTGGATCATGCCGTGAATCCGTTCATCTTGGTGAAACCTAAAGTTAGGTTAAGGGATGACCAGTTGTTTTGAGTCATTTATTTTTCTCGAAGACCTACTGGTCTAATTTTGTAATTTGTAACACGAAGAAAAAATGAAGATGTTGTCTTTAGTCTTCTGGCTTACTGAAGAACGACTACTGGTCCCATGTCGAAGAATGAAAACAGGTCGTGCATAATTTGCCTTACATAAGCTTTTGTCTCAAGCCGAAGAGAGTTGGACAGTAATTGGTGTCGTCGTCACTCAACCTAGAAGTCATGGCTCTTATGCAACAGTAACCTTTGATAATTCCAACCACCAAGTTTTAGTTCTGATTTTGCCATGGAGATAAACGACCTTAATTTTTTAACGTAGAGTTTCGGCAAAATTTTCTTACAGACATTACATCCCCCTTCATTTAGGCAGTTTTGTGGAAAACTCCTGGAGTAATGTTTATATATCACTCGGAAGAAGTGGCACAAAGGTGGCCTCACCGAGTTGTCGATGTCACTACTTTATCTGCTGATGCATTACCAGATATGTTGCAATTGCCTGGAACGCAACAAAGCTTGATGGATGACTTAAGCTAACACATCGCAATCAAAACCCCATCGTATACGTGTATAACTTTCAATCGTACGTTGCTAAGACTCCTCGAGCTTTCTTGTTCCCTCATATATCACAGACACCCAGAATAATGAGCGGAATATGATATTCAGTTTTGCTAAATCACCTTGATTGCTTCTCTATGATTTCAAAGTCACAGAGCCATATGATTCTTAAGATATTAAGGGACCGATTCTCCGACAGTCTGCGTGGCAATCCACACCAGAACCTGTGTACAGTTCACTCCTGCACCTGTGCCTATTTCCATCTTTGATCGGTTCCTCTGAATTAATGGGCTGTATTATGAAAGAGTTTATGCCGTCTCTTCTAGGTAGTACATAAATTGAAACAAATCATATGGTAAGTTCTAATAACCATTCCATACTTTAGAAGAACAAAAGCAAGACCTAGAAATAAATGTGGTCACAGTCCATAGTCTTTGAGCCGTTGAGTACTGAGGCGAGTATCAAACGAAACGATTGGCTATTGATTTCCTTCCGTTGACTCATTACACAATCGAGAACATTAGTGTGTGATTCATATGATCATGCACCACCTGAACACCTACCTGGATTTACCACGTTTGAAAGGAATGGTATTTATGGACGCTGTGGAGACATACATATTCGCCATTTTAATGATTGCCAGAAACTCTGCTAAAAACATTCCAACTGTTGCAGAATTATCTTTTGAGAACAGATTATCACATCGGCCTACTGGCTCATTTCGGGCGTCTTCCGTTCTGTCTTAACCCTGCTTCACTTAAACCGTATTTGTTTATGTGTCAAAAAGCCTAAAGAAAATCTTGGCTGGAATTAATATCAAACCTCTTATATTCTTGTTTGTCAATTTACACAACGCTGCAGCGTCTGCTAAAATTCCAAAAATCTTTGATTTTTTGTTTGAGAAATGCAAATGGGTATCTTATTAAGTGTACTCTTTTTTAAGATTCATTACATTCATTACTTTTCATACACATTACACTATACAAATATACAGCTAAATATTGACTTAAAATACAAAAATATATATAGTTAGTTTGTTATATTACGAGGAAAAGTGAGTTGTACGTAAATTAATCGGAGGTTTTAAGTCGCTTAACTGGTCCCTCACTGCCCTGTGAATTAGAGTCTTCCGAAAATGGCATACTGCTGACAAAATCAGCACCCTGCGAATCGCTGACAACGGAGAAACCTAAAAGTGAAAAAACACATTAATTAAAATCTCTACTAATAGCAAAATAGCAATTTATGGGAAAATCTTTAAAATAGACTATAAAAACATCAAACATTTTTTTCTTTGTCGGACGATTGCTTGCTGCTTTTTGAAAACTCATTTTCGAATTCACTCACAGGTATTGGAATCCTCAGCAGTTAGGCCTCCTCCATAGCTGGATGTTATTTGTGGCGGTGTTGGTGTACTCTTTTGGGAATTCTCCTTGTCACTCTTGCTGCCCAGACCGACCCCGCCGCCACCACCACCGCCAAGTTTCTTTTTATCGTTATTCGATATTGGAACCCATTTGAAGATTTTCATTGTGGTATCATTGATGGTCACCCATTTCTTTTCCCAATGTCTGGGTTTATCCACAGCGGCCATTACCCTTTTGATGTCATCTTTGGCCCGGCTACGTGTCTCGGCTCTTACACTTCGTGACATTGTGGAGATTTTAAAGCGAGAGAATTTCTTACAATTTCAACAAATTTCTGTTTGATCTTTCATTTACAAACAATTTGATATGTTTTGTCTTGTTTATCCCTTGAAATGGTGGTGGTTGTTTTCCGTCTATACGTCGAGGAACGCTTTGTGCCGGGCAATGTTTACATCAGGGTTGGAAATGTGTATTTACTATTAGTTTGGGAAAATGTAATTAATTTCACCTCGATATCCTTATTATTAAATCGGTTAAATGAAAATTATACTAAATACAGCTAATGTAAAGAGCAACTTTTAATTTACTTTCTCTAAAATATCTTTAATTTCCGGATATTTTATTAAAATACTAAGAAACCCATCTCTGGCGGTATGATTTCGAGTACTGGTTACTTAAGAAACAGTTATTAAAAGACGCAACGTGAACGTAATTGCTAAAGCCACGTTTACACATGGATAAAGAATAAATCAATTTTGTTTTAATGTGTGTATTGTTTTGAATAATAAACAATTTTAAAGGTCATCAATATTGTCCTTTTATCACGAATTTAGTTTTAATCTTCCCCACACTTTTTTTAAATGTAATCGAGACATAACAATTCTAGTTTTATAATTTTTTGACTTTTTCTTTTTTGTAGTTTCTTACTATTTTTTCTAAATCAAAAAGAAAAAATTGGTTTACGTAGTAAAATTTTTAACCTTTTGCAGGTTCTACTAGTTTTGCTATTTTTTTGGTGTCATGAAGAAAATTTCTTTGTAGCATTTGTAGATTTTTTACGCGAGTTTCGATCAAGTCGTTTCTTTACTTTTCGAATCATTTCTGCTAATGTTGCTGTTTTCTTACGTCCACTTACTTGACGTCGGGCTACGCTACCAGTATAACGATAACGAGCGATGGTATTTATTCATATTTAATGCTGGAGTACTCTAACGATAGCCACTTGTGGTTTTCCAGCCAAATATAAAGAAATCACACTATCACGCTTGAATTCCATCACGAATAACTTTTTTTCTGGAAAATTCTCACAAAAATGCGTTTGTACGCTTGTAAACAATATAATGAGCTGTCACTGAAATAATTTTAAAATAATTTTAATTACAAAAAATGCAGATAGATATGCTCAGGGTACAATAAGGAGGTAGAACAGATTCGTAAAACTACGGAAATACAGTCCTGAGGCCATGACCGCTTCTTGTCAAATTTGCATGCAACAAGTTATTTTCATTTATACAATACTTTTCCTCATTTTTAAAATCAGTTAAACAGTCGTTAAAATGTATGAAATGCTTGGATTTTCTTTCAAAAATATAGTCTAAACAGTTCTATCTTTTAATTCCAGGACAAAACTGGCGAATAACTTTAATGAGCGCCTCGCAATTTTCGCGTCTTCCAAACATTGAAAATTGAAAACAAATACACAAATTGGCAGAAGTCGGGCACACTTAGAAAAAAATGTAATCAGCTGATAGCTCTACCTTACCTTTTTATTGTAAGGCATATCCATGCTTTTTTAAAATTACTTTGCCTTTTGGTATGGTAGAATAATACAGGTAGTCATAGCGACACATCTGCTGGGACAATGAACTGTCAAACCAATTTTGGAATTGAAATTATTGAATGAAAAATTATTAAAATTTGTAAAAATTGTCGTTTTCAGTTTTTCAAATACCTAAAAAAATCAAGCAACTAAAAGTATGAGCTCGTTAATTCCAAGTACGTAATTTTGAGATCAAGCAACATAATTCATTTAGCAAGGAGAACATGGTATGAGTACAAGCATTTTGTCCGATAAATCAATGGAAAAACCATGAATCGATACACCCTTTCGATGCTATTGATATTGCCATCGATTGTTTGCCACCTCCATACTGCTGTCACTTGAGCACGAAGCCGATCGGCTCGCAGTCGGCGCACAGCAGCCGCCGACTTTTTTTAAGTCATCTGAGCCGCCGCCGATGGATGCGGCTCTCATCGGCTCAAATTCTTAGCCGACTGAGTCGACTAAGCCTTCGAAAAAAATACATGCAGCATGTTTGTATAAATATGTCTTTTAATATTATCGATTAATAAACTTATTATTTCATAGTAGTAAGGGTAATATGTCTTTGTACATTTGTCTTTGTACCTTTGGCAACCTTTTTTATTTACGAATTTTGATGGAGTGGCAGCCACATGGTTTGCAAAAAAGTCATTGTGTTTTTGCTTGTTCATCAAAAGTAGGAGAAGTATTAATAAAAGATTTATAAAATGTGCCAAAGATATATTAAAAACTATTTATTTAAATAGTTCTGTTAATGCAAAGACATCAGCCTGTATTCTGCAATATTAAACCAGCAAAGAACGTCTTAAAGTCGGGCAGGGCCGATTTTATGATACCCTACACCACTTTGCTAATTTAGTAGTGCTGCGCATAACAATTAAATTTTTTTATGGCAGAATTCAATCATACACGCTATGATTATGATTATAATTTTAAGTTCAAAGAACTAAATATGCCGAAGTATTTGTATCTTTTAAATTCGGACTTGTATTGGAACCGATCTCGATAAAATTTGGCAAAGATATTTCTGAGCTGTATTTGATATATTTCCCTGAATATCGTTGTTACGGAGTGCATATTACGGCTGTGGGTAACAAATATGACAAATCGGATGAACAATAAATATGGGAGCTATAGCTATATCTGAACCGATCTTCACCAAATGACATACAAGCTTCTAGACTAAATTCGATCGTAAGTGCCAAGTTTCATCCAATTTGGGCAAATATTAGACGTTTGGTGCACAAAAAAGCTAAATCCGACGAAATTATATATGGGATCTATATTCAAATCTGTACCGATCTCGATAAAATTTAGCAAATGTATTTCTGAGCTGCACTTGATATATTTCCCCAAATATTTTTTTTACAGAGTGCATATTACGGCTGCGGAGGACAAAAATAACAAATCGGATGAACAATATTTATGGGAGCTATAGCTATATCTGAACAGATTCCGATCAAATTTGGCACACTTATTTTCAGGCCTAATTTGGTTGTATGTGCAAAATTCCATACTATTCGGGCTGATATTGAACGTTTGGTGCACAATAAAAGGCAAATCGGACGAAAATATATATGGGAGCTATATCTAAATTTTGACCAATTATCTCCAATTTCAATAGGGTTCGTCCTTGGGCCAAATTTCCTTGGGTGAAAAATTTCATCTGGATATGGCAATAAATGCGAACTGTACTTTGTTTACAAAAATACATGGACAGACGAACGGACGGACATGCATAAATCGACTCAGAATGTGATTCTATGCAGATCATCAAAAGGAACTATGGGTCTATCTCGTTTCCTTTTGCCTGTTACAGACAAATGCACAAAGACATAATACCCTGACCACCTTGTGGTGTAGGGTATAAAAATACAATTGTTTGTTCATGATAACAATGCGGTCGGCGAACCATTTTTATCAAATTAGTTAGTAGACTGTAGCCGACTTTTAGCCGCCGCCGATTCTCTTTCGGCTGCAGTCGACTTTTAGCCGCCGCCGGCTTTTTTGTGCTTAGCCGCCGCCGCCGCCGCCGGGAATTTCACATCGGCTTCGCCCTCTGGGTGGTACAAGTGTTTTGCTTATCTTCTCCAATGTCAAATTGCTGCCATCATTAAAGCTTTTGCTATTAAAATAACATGTTAAGCTAGTAAAAAAATAATAATGAGTTGTGGAGATACTGAAAAGAAGAAAATAAATATTCGAATATTATTTTTTGCTAAATCACGTGAATTGGCGGGACTGGACGAAGCATCGTTTGGCCTGGAATCAAGTTCAATAACATCACTCGACTTGTTGGGGAAAATTAGTGCTGCATACAATTTGGAAGCCATTAAAACAACAATTATATTGGCCATCAATCAAAGCTATTGTAATATTAGCGAAGAAGAACAACTGCACTTAAAGGAAGGCGATGAAATAGCCATTATTCCCCCTTTGAGCGGTGGATAATTTGAACCTGTTTTTTTCCACTCTAACACACGACGGTACCTTAGTAGCTGATAAGTCAATATGAAGAACCACTTGTTGCTCACGCATGAAAAACTTGATGTTGGTGCTATCAATAATTTGGTAACTGCCGGCAGCTGTGGAGCCATATCGCTGTTTGTTGGCACAACTCGTGATAATTTCGAGGATAAGAAAGTCGTCTCTCTAGAATATGAAGCATATGAGCCTATGGCTATCAAGGAAATGGAAAGTATATGCGGGCAGCTAAGACAAAATTGGTCGGATATTGTTAACATTGCCATCTTTCATCGTTTGGGTTTAGTTCCGGTAAGCGAGGCAAGTGTTGTTATTGCTGTTTCCTCGCCACATCGCAAAACAGCTTTGGATGCCGTTTCCATGGCCATAGAAGAACTCAAGAAACGTGTACCAATTTGGAAGAAAGAAAAATACGAAGGCGACGAGGGTTCTTGGAAGGAGAACAAAGAATGCCAGTGGTTAAGCAAGGAAAAAGATGTTATATAGCATAATATATATTGTATTTTATATATCTTTTGATTCATGTTGCTTCTTTGAAAATTTGTTAAAGTTTTTGTAGTTGTAGTGCAATAAAATAAATTTTCATATTGAATTTCTAATACCTATATTTTATAGAAATAGGAGCATTATTGTTATACATGAGAGTAATATCCAAAATATTACACATTTTAAGAGGGATTTCTAATATTTTGAGTTTTCGAAACAGATCTTGGATCTTTAAGGATCACAGGAAAATATAAAAAAAAATTTGGGTCTATTACGCAGATTATAAATTAATGTTTTGATGGATATTCTTTAAAAGCAATGAGAACTTTATCTAAAGACATATATATATGTATATATATATATATATATATATATATATATATATATATATATATATATATATATATATATGTATATATATATATATATATATATATATATATATATATATATATATATATATATATATATATATATATATATATATATATATATATATATATATTTATATATTATATACAATTTCTATATAAATGAGCATCAATACTTGCGAATCATTAAATATATTTTCTATGAAATATGAATTTTAATACTAGTGAGATGTCCTAAAAAAAGAAGAGTTAACAATCGTAGATTTTTTAGAATATTTTCTGTGAAGCGTTGCAGATTCAATACTCTTGGATTTTTGGGAACATTACTTACATTCTAAATTACATTTCTTTAAACTATTGGATTTAATAATCGTGGATTTTGAAAGCAATTTTCTATGAACCACAAGGTAAAATACTTTTAGATTTTAAAATATATATTCTGTGAGCAATGAGAGCAAATATTAGTGTTTTTAAGAAAATTTGCATGGAAATTATATGATAGTAATTTTTTTTTATATTACAAGAATGGGGTTGCTGTTATTTATGACAATAATTTAAGATATGTATTTCATTTGGTATGAAAAATTCTATCCTTATTTTGAGAATAAACACATAAATGTAATCATTATTATAAGGGACAATGTAAACATATTATTATTTTCACTATCACCAATCGGTGTTTAAATCGAATAGTCGATAATTCGATAAGTTTCATCTCGACCTAGTCATCCCTATTATATACCAAACAATGCAAAGTAAAAATCGAAGAGCAAACGAACGAAATGGATCGGAGTGTAGCGGATAAAATGAAAATTATTAAGAAATTAAGAAAAATCTACTTGTGAAATTTAAGAATATTGTGAAAATAACAACAAAAATTTTATAAAAAGGGTAAATGCAAGTTTGGAGAAGCCCAAGACAAACCTTAATTAGTGAAAAATGATGTATTTTCTAAGGGCCAAAAGAAAATGAGATGAGAAAAAAAATTGTTGTGGAAAAAAGTGAAGCCTATATGTGTGTACGTTTGTGGTGCTGCAAATGAGTGTATATGATTGCGTGTATGTGCAGAAAAAAGCAAATAGAAAAGTAATTGAAAATTTTCAAGGAAAGAATTCTCGCCGTTGCTGATAAATAAAAGTGAAATTTTGCAAGAATTCACAGTGATAATGGCCAGCCCCCCAATCCAAAATAGATTTAATTAAACAACAAACACACACGCACACACACAAACACACATCTCACGTAAAACAGCAGTGGAAAGAAAATCTAATTGTCAATTGTGTGTACGATAGTTATTTTGTTTGCAGTATGGTAACTCTGAAACCGGTTACCTGTCACATAAAATACTAGACATGGCAACACTGTTTACTTTTAGTTATTCTTTCATTCTCATTTGTTCGTAACAACAATTTTATGAAATAAATATCTTCAATTCTTATTGTATTTGTTCGCAAAAGGGGAGAAAAGTAAGTGGGAGCAGTGTAATTTTTTCGTAAAAATTTTAATAAAAGTGAATGCATGTTAATAACAAGGAGTGTGAGAGAGAAAAGCCATTAAAATGCGTTTCGGTTTTCTGCAAAAAAGCACAGCTTAATGTCAAAGACACTTGTGAAGAAGTTTTAGTTTTCCGTGTGTATCTCACTGCGCCACCTAACGCCATAGGGAACTCCCTCCGGCGCCTCTTGGCTCTTCAATATATTTCGCAGTGTTTCTTTTTGTTGGTGCTTTCATTTCATTAATATCTTCTATAGTTAATATAGGTAAAATTGTCATCCTTGGAGAGAAGAGAGTGAACATTTCTTCCATTCACTTAACGGGAGGAGACACAACAAAAACAACAAAGTGCAAATATATATGATTTTTACAGAAGAAAACAACAAAGATAGCCTTTTTTTTGATTGGCAAACGGGAGAGTGGATACGAATTGTGCAAGGAATGAATGAAAAGCGAGAGTAACAAGAGTAACCAACAAAAATAATAGAAAGACAAAACGTCAACGTGAATAAAATGTGGAATTTTTTTCTTCAGAGTGCATGTGCAAATTAACAAAAAATATAAACAGGTGATGAATTTGGTTTAAGTGAAAAAGAATATCCTTTGTCTTGGACACACAACGTGCAGCAAAGAGTAGCATACAAGAAAACGGATTATTTCCTTTACTAAAGTGAAAGAGTGAATTGTGATTCTAGTCAAAATTGACAGACGTTTTTGCAGGCGGCGGAACACATTGTTGGGAAGACCAGGCGAAAAAAAAAACGTGAAGTGTTTCGGCATTGTTTTTTGTTTAACTCCAAGTAATGGATACTTTGTTCGTTTCACACCACCATCATATCCTGCTCTACTAAAAACTCATCCAGTCTGAGGAACAAGACATCGTCTCGTCGTAATTGCCTTTGTGCTCCGTCATTGTGTCTGCCAAGAAAATCGAAAACAAAAAATAGCCAAGGGAAGCAATAAAATTGCAAGCCATCGCCCTCTTTGTAAAAAAACAACAACAGTTCACACTAACTACCATCGAATTTAAGCATAAAAAAGCTAGACAGGCAAACAAAAGAAAAAAATAAAAAGAAGTCACGAGGAGGATTCATAATTCATGTGGGCATTCTAGGTTTTACATCCATCCCTTCTCCTAGATGTTGAACACTTTTACACCTGTCCCCCAGAACAATAAACACCGGCAATATTATTAACATCGGTAGGAAAAATAATTTGCAATCGCCATTTCATCACCACTCACATTCACATCGATTGCCAAAGACGACAACATCACAATCGCCTTGGTGGTCGCCGTCATCGTTGTCCTCCACTTCACCACAGTCATCATCAGCATTAACCCCTTCGTCGTCGACGTCGTCTTCGTCACCAACAGTTGTATCGTCAGTGACCAAGCAGCACATCAATTCAGCCAGCATTAGCAGCATCAACGACAGCAGTAGCAGCAGCGGCGGCGGTGGCATCGGTAGCAGTAGAGCTAGCAGTACCGACAACAAAATGCCCAAATGCGATGTTAAAACACGTTACATTCCTGCGACTTTCGCCTGGATTTTATTATTGACCACAACATTTCTCTTCTTCTTTTATCCGTAAGTATTGCAAATTGTCATTATGATTCTCCTTTTTTTAAAATTTCTCATTTCTGCACTTGTTTTTTTAAAGTTGCCTTCAATTTGTAGTTTTTGTTTTTCGTATGTGACAAATGTCCATGAATACCTGTTTCCCCTATTCTCTTTCCCCGAGTCTCTTCGACTCTCTTGCAATTGGCTCCCTGCATCCACAACAACAGTGGCCAGTTAATGTTGAGTATTGTTCTTATTTGCTGTTGTTGTTGTTTTATTATCATTGCTGAGTAGGGAGGCCAGTGTGTATGTTTGTTTTAAACTTGTTACAAAAACAAAACGAACAACACCAACAACTAATATAACAACATAAACAGTAACACCAACCGTGTGTATAGTGAGTTGAGTGAAGAGCTATCAAAACAAAACTTGTTTTCAAGTTCACACAATCATTTATTCAACATGCACACAGATGTATCAACATGCTTTTAGAGAGAAAGAGAGAGAGAGAGGAAGAGAAAGTGGGAGTAATAGGGGAAATATTACAATTTTAATGGTCAGTAGTTTGTTATGAGTTATGGGGGGACTCTATTGATAGTATATATTGCTTTGTGTGGCCTGTCCTTGTCCTTTGAACAATGTTATGCAGTTATTTACGGATAGCCATTTGGAAATAAGGCTTCAAATTGGTTATTTGTTTTAATCATCAGGCTTGAAATGACAAGTAATATAGGTATCATTACATGAGAGTAAAAAACTTTTATACAATTTTGAATACATTTGCAGGGATTAAATGGATTGTAGTCGATTGTGTTTAGAAGTTATAGGGTAACCTTGCCCTTGGAAGAATTAAGGAGATATGGTCGACATTAAAGTTTTAGTTTGCGTAAAATATTAATTGTTTTGACGCCCTGGATAAAACGATAAGGCTTACGGGTATATTAACTTTTGTCATTTTGTTTGTAACATCCCTAAATATTCGCGGAAGACTCCACAAGGTATATATGTTCATGATCAGCATAAAATACTAAGTCTATTTCACGATATCCGTCTGTCCGTCTGTTTAAATCACGAAACAGCTCACATTATTTGACGTAGAGCTTTAAAATTTGGCACAGTAGTTTGAATTGTGTCTAGGGTGGTTGGTATTGAAAATGAGATATATCGGTCCTCGTTTTCGTATAGCCCCATATAAGGATACCTCACGATATTCGGTATTTTGATGATTTTTGCCAAATTTTTCAAGGGATTTTTCTAAAAATTGGTATTTGTTGTTTGTTATGAGTTCTCGCTACAGTGGCGGAAAATTTTTTATATAGGTCCACGTTTCCGTATAGCCCCCCTATATGGGTACCTCCCGATATTCGGTATTTTGACGATTTTTGCCATATTTCTCGACGGATTTTTCTAAAAAAAGGTATTTTTATTTCGTAATGGGTTCTAGCTTCGATGGAGGAACATTTTACATATAGGTTCAAGATTTCGTATAGGCCCCGTATGACGGTACCCCCTAATATTCGGTATTTTGATGGGTTTACCGACATTTTCCAACGGATTTGTCTAAAAAATGGTATTTGCACTTCATAATGGGTTTTAGCTTCGGTGGTTTTCCTAAAGAAAACATGTAAAGGTTTCTTCGGATACTCGGCATTTTGACGATTTAACCTACATTTCCTAATAGATTTGTGTGAAATTTGGTATTTGTACTTCATAATGGGCTCTACAACCGGCGTCAAAACATTTTCCATATTGGTCCTTGTCATCCCAGTTACACTTAACCGGGAACTTATATCAAATTTGGTATTTAAGACTCGCAATAGCTTATAATCATTGTAGTATAATATTGTCTATATAGGCTCCCGATTTTGTAAGGTCCGCCATATAACGGCTCAAACCATTCTCCTACCGATCTTACTGGAGTTTGTACTTGAAAGTGGAACATGTTTGAATTCAGATACTTTTGCCAACAAATATTTTTTTTACCCGATGGTGGAGGGTATAAGGAGTTCGGCCCACGCGAACTCAATGTCTTTTTAATTGTTATTTTTTTTTTTTGACATTTTCAAATTTTTAGTTTTACCCAAAGGCCTCCTCTTTTTATTGTTCTTCAACATTTTATTTCATTTAAGTTTATATTCCTAAAAATATGTATCTCATAGAGAATTTCCGATAATCAAAAGTGTATTTTTGTCCATGAAGTTGAATTGAAATTCCTATGTAAACATTTACACTGTGTTTTTTTGGGAGATCCTACACACTTCGTTGTATGTGCCATTAATGACATCCAATTTGATGTAAGAACAATGTAACATAAAAAACCCTTGATGACAGTAGTGACGCAGCCAATATTGTAAATATTAACCACAATAATTATTAATATCTAATGCGATATGGTTTAATTACTCATCATTTTGTTAATGATGTCGCACAATAAACGTTGTCGTTATTCGTTGCCAATGTCATCACAGGGCGAAAGCCACAGGATTATTAATTTTCTTTGCTCTCAATGTTTATGAAGTCTTTTCGTGGGGCTTTTTAATAGCTGCAGTGGAGTCATTGTCAAAGTGTCGTAACGGAACATAAGTTTTTAATAAATTTTTATGATGAAAACCATTATTATGAATATTATCATTGTCGTTATGGAATAGTCATTGCGAAGGAGATCTTTTTGTGTTTTAGTTTTTAAGAGGATATTAACCCTTGCCGTGAAAAAATTAGTGAAAATCCCTTATTTGGTATAGTTCTCAAATAGCTTTATTTCTATATAGTCGGTATTTTAAAGGGTTCGGTTCAATTTGGTTGGTTCAAGTGTGGGTCCTCATTAGCCCAAGTGAATGTTGCTTTTTATTTTGCAATCTTAGTTAGTTGAACAAAGTCACCGAAAATTTTAACGATTTTGAGGAAATTTGATCTGACCATAATTTAAGTTTTCACACAGATACTCAGCTAAACTGAAGCTGGCGCCAGCTGCAAGTAATATGATTTGGATACTTCTCGAAACCTCATGTTATATATCTTTTGGAGTGAATCGAGTAGATACTGTATGACACGAATGCACCTTCATGAGCGTATTTTCATACACTCTGCCATATTATGGAGGGTATATTAACTACAACAACAAAGTACAGGGTGAAACTGCAACAAAGTCAAACGCAATATTTTTTTTATTTTATTGAATGAAAGCAAAAATTGTCGGAAATAGCATCAAATTTTAGAATAAGTTTAGATTTGTTCGAATTGCTACGAATTATGGCCTTCAAACGGCCAATGAAACCGTCACACGCTGCCCGAATGTTGCTCTGCGGTACTTTGGCCCATTCCCAGCGAAGCGCTTGCTTTGGTATTTTTTAGTGCCAACTTTGCATTCCAAAATACTCCAGCCACAATAGTCCAACGAATTGGTATTCGGAGATTTTAATGGTCATTGTACGGAAATGAAGCGAGGAACCTGATTTTGCAACCATTCTTGGGTTCCAAGGTCTGCGACCAAAATGTTTGCGTGTGCAATTCTTTAATACACCCTCCAGAATATTTTCGCGATAATATTCGGCATTTATTCTGATGCCACGGTCGATTAATACGAGCGGAGAGCGACCATCGGCTGTTATGGCGGCCCACACCATCACCATGGCCGGCGCTTGAGTTCTGGTGGCCAACCGTAGGTGCACATTTCAGCTGACCTCTTTGGCAAGTAAACACGATCATTTTGCTTGTTTACAAATTGCTGGACAACGAATGTTTTCTTATCGTAGCGGAGAAAACCAAATTCGGCAGTTCAACACTTTCGGCCAATTACCAACCTTGGGTCTTGCAACCGGACGTGTACACTCTGGGCCGTCATTACTCAGTAGGAGTGCTCGAAAAGTTGTGACCTACCAGAATTTTGCCGGAATATGACCCCTAGGGGTTATTATCGGGTTGGATCATCCTCTTGATCGACCTGCATATTTAGGTGGAAAAAAGTTGTGGCCGCTGATTTATCGGTGGACATTTTCATATTCCTTGTTTAGATACTGGAGAGTCGTATCTAAACAAATCAAATCCTAGCGGAAGTACTCCTGTGATTTTACAATCTCCTTCTCACCCGGGGTTCACAGCAACATCAAAACCAATAATACACGCGTACATAAATCTGCCATAAAATTTTTTTATTCCGCTCGATTTTACTCGTAGAGTAAAATCTTTTTCTAATTTGAGCACTTCACTCTCTTATATTTTACATCTCAGTAATTCGCAAGCGCTCCCACACACAAAAAAGCTGGAGTGTAAACTTTGTGTAAAACTCCTACTCTTCGATCACTCCCGTTTGCGATAATATTGAACTCGGGAGTAAAAACGTGCAAAAATGAGTTCTGCTCAGTTCTTTAATTAAATTCCATCCGCCTTTTTAATAATAAATCTAAGATTTCAAAAAGAACGAGGTCACTCTGGTAATAGATCAAAATGGCTATACGTAGGAGTGCTCTTTAGAAGTATGAGATACATAATAACGAGTATCGCAGGCTCAGCTAAGGGAAGGTGGGAATGCAAACGTACGTTTGTGGCAGCCTTGCTCAAAGCGATAATTCTCCCACCAGCATTGAAAAACAACTGTTCTTACCTCCTAGCTCCTAAAAAATCGCTCATCAATTAACATGCTTTCTTTTGCATCCCTGTTTGACTGACTGCCTGTCAAAGACTAACGACCCTTATTATTTTTCCAATGAAGAAAATATACATTTTCATGTTTTATTTCTGTTTCTATTTTTTGTTTATTATGTGTCTCCCTTACTTCGCCATTTCCACTTGCTAATGGTAATTTAAGATACCGTCAACTTTTTTTCTTTCAATTTTTATAAACGGATTACTGTCTATAACTCTCGGTGCAAGAAATCGAAAGGCATCACCATCATCAGTTAACAAATATATTTATTTTTATTTTTCGTTTAATTTCCATAGATTTTCATTCACATCGTTGGCTTTGGAATTTTCTCCCGCAGTATTTCGTCGGTTTTTTTTTCTCATTTTTCGGGGGATACAGTGTGGGA